AATAATAATTTGATCTAAGTAAGAGTTTTTTTCTTCTTCCCGATTTGTAAAAAAATCCTCGTGTGATAAAAAATGAATATTATTTTCGAAATATTCGTAGCTGAATTATAAAAAATCCGTTATTACAAGCAAAATAAATTTTATGCAGTTTAAATTCGCAGGCCTGTGTAATCCTTGGTTTACTTAAGTTAATGTTCCCCGTCATGAAAACAATCGTGTGTAATATTTCAATGAAAACTGATATTATTACCATCGTGAGCTTCTGTTACAATAATTTATTACAATAAAGATCTACGACATCACTAATAAAGGATCGCTGTGTGGTACATCGTACGTTTGAGGGCTTTATAATCGGGTTTCGAAACCACAGGTAGCCCATTTTATATATAGGTTTGCGCTTAACAACAAACAAACTGCTCTGGAAAATCTTGAGCTACACCAACACAGCAATCTAAGTGATAACCAAAAAACTTTTATGAAGTTTAAATTCACAAGCCTGGGTAATCAATATAAGAAAGGGAGTCAGCAGGAGAAAATAATAAGTAATCAACGATCATAGAAAATTGTAAAATCAGAAGAACAAGTAATATTTAAAAAACAAAATGTACCTCGACATTAAACTACCTTAATTTTTGACTTCATAGATTAAAATAGCGTTATAAAGTAGGTTTACTATTTTCCTTAAGAAGTATTTAAATTTATTTCTTCACTCATAATTGCAATACTGATTAAAGGTCCTGATGTGCCCCCCCCCCCAAACGAAATACAATGACCACTAAAGGGGGGGGGACCATGCGTGTGACAAATTTGGAAACCGAGGATCCATGTTTCGTGTTCCGTTGCCGCAAATATTGTCGCGCTCTTTTAGGCTATAGGTGCGTTATACGAGTGACGATCAAATCCCACTGTTCGACTAGAGCAACCAGAGAGTTAGTTGTGGGTACTGTTGACTAGCTGTCTTCCCCGTATCATTTCAAACTAAGGGACGGCGAGCGCAGACAACTGTCGTTTAAGTATGCTTGAATGTACCAAACAAACAGACTATAGGAATAGAACTACATGGGAGAACAGCTAGCTAGTTAGCTTGTAATGCATAAATCATTAGAAAATTAGTTAGAAGCCCTGATGATCGTAAAACTAGTTTTCAGTATCATTGGCATACCTTTTGGGGGAAGGGATCTTTTTCATAGAAATATAGAACGAACTGCAGAAAATTGTCTAGAAATAATAGAACGAAATGGGAATGTTTTATGAACTTATAGTATTTTAAACAAATAAATGAAACTAAACAGTACGTTAGCTTGTAGTAAACGGGGAACGTCGCCATGTTTAAGATCTTTATAATAATGTTTTTTTTTCACATTTATGATATATTTTGATATCTGAAATTTTTCAGATATATATATATATCTGTGTATGTATTCAGTGTTTTAAACAAATAACAAGGAAAACATTCATATGGGAAAAAAGTATAAAGAATCCTCTCGACATCTTTAAAAAAGGGACGATCGAGAGGGGAACGCCTTTCTCGTCACGATGTATTGCCCAACAACGCAAGAAAACTTGTTTTTTGTTTGCTAATTCTGTCCTGCTTTGTCATACATTAATAGATTGATTGATAGATTGAAGGTACGCAAAATTATATATTGAATATATTAAGGTTTTCCAGTTTGAAATCTTCAAGCTCGTATTTCTGTTCAGTAATGAAGGTTTGTTTTGGAAAACAAAAGTTTTTGATAATTTATGAAAATAAATGGAAAAAAGGCTTTTAATCCGTATCGTGAAATGGTATAGAATGGACACCTTTTCTTAAACACCTCATTTGGGTGTATATTATACAGTAGTCATGACGGCATCTGTCTCTCACGGTTCGACAAATCTTTATTGAAAGAGACCACCGAGGCCGTCAGTGGTATATTATTGTCCTAACCTGGTGACAAATCCACCTTAGCTGTTCAATAGACTGTCACTTCCCACGGTCTTCCCATTGTTCCGCAGTCACCGTGCAACAAAGTGAATAAGAAAGGGAT